CCTGTTTTGATTCAAACCATAGAAAGAATTCTATTAGGAATTACAAATTTCACATCCAGATATTACACAGAGAAATTCTGAAACATCAGACAGAATTGTTTGCCTGGTTCTTAGCATTTGAAATGATGTTATAATTCTATCCATTCCACAAGCCAAGTATTTCTGAAAACATTTAATTGTTTAACTTTGTTCTGAATATTCAAATCACATGAAATATAACAAAAGAGCTTGTAACTAGATCATTTTTGCGGGGGCAAGGACGGCCTCTTCAAGTTTTCTATCTACACAATTCCATTTTAACTGATGATAGCAAGGTCACAACCTGACTACCTCTGTTCTACAACAATCCCAATTAAAGCTAATTAGTGACAGCAACTGTGTTTTAAGGAGGAGATGAAAAAAATGGAACAAAGATTACTGGGGAAGTATCCTGATATTTTAATTATAATCTTCACAGTAGGAGGTGGGGTTACTGATGCTTATTTTGGCTGCTTGTTTGAATGGTCTGTAAAAGGTACAAGGGCCAATGTCCCTTATGTCCCTAAAGCTACATAAATACAACTGAAATTATTGTGGATATTTAATACACTTTTCCAATTTGAGAAAAATGGCCATTCAAATGTTAGAATGAAAATGATCTCTTTCAGCCTTAAACCAACACATTTAAAGGGCACACAGCTTCAAAGGACATTTCTCAAAACAAACGCATTCTAAAATCCAGATTTAAAGAATTGAAAAGATTTTTTAATGTGTATTTTTAACTTTACCCTCGAAGGAAAACTTCAGCAGAATCTGGGGAAAACCACTCTAATCTACAAAAGTATGCCAATGGGAATTGTCTACCTAATTCAAATATCCAATTCCAAAAACAGCTGCAAAACAAGATGAACCTTGAGAATTGGATAGGATAATGAAAGAGTTTTGCCCTTCCCAAGGAAATAAACAAGGGAAAAATACAAAACATCAAAATCAGTTTTTCTTAGAAAATTGAATGAAATATTGCCAATAAATGTAGAATTCTTAAAGCATAAAGTTCATAGTTTGTGGCTTGCTTTATTGCCTTCTTGTCTGATCCTTCTATTGTTCCTACACATACAATTGTTGTGTTTGAGTAACTCAGCTGCACATCAGTTTTTAGTTTTAAGAATTGTAGGGAAGGGACCTTGTGGCCAAAGCTATACACAACTTTTCTCTTGGGCTTCTTTGAGTCAAACAGGAAGAGAATGGAATTTAAATAATTATTGGTAGCACATAATTCTGATGAAAAGTCTCCTAACTCACATGGGAGAAAATAGTTATTTTACTAAAGACTGGGGAAATTATATAGAAGAGCCAGACACTGTCTAGAAAATACTCCTTGCTGCAAGCATTTTCCAAATTTAATTGGCAACCACATATTCGTAAAATGTTTTATTACTCCTCACACTAAAATTTTGAATAGGCTGAATAGTCTGAGTAGAAGCCAAAACTCCTTATCTTTTATTTATTGCTAAAGCAAACACACACACACACACACACACACACACACACACACACAGAGTTTGTGTATACACAGATTAACATATATAGCAAACTTAGAAATAATAGTTGTGTATGTTGTACTAAATGTTTTGATGACATTCAATAAACACATTAATTGTTATAAGGTAGACCACTTCATAGTTTATATCAAAGCACAGCATGTTTAGGCTAAGTTTGAGATGTTAGCTTGCCTAAACCCTCTAAGTCCTTAAAGGAGAAAATCAAACTTCCCAGCTTGTAGTTTGAACCACATGCTATACCAGATGATGCTCATGCAAAGCTCAACAGCTATCACAAATAAAATCTGTTGTTGTTTTTTAATAGGTTTATCAACCGAAGAACTATTATTAGATTATACTGCATTTTTATCCAACACTTTGAAGTCTCACTGTGGTCTCCTTGCACAAATCTTACAACCAGATAAAAGCCACTGCATTTTTAATGCTTCTGCACTGCACTGAATTTAAAGGCAGTCTATGTAGGGTGGCCAATAGCCTGAGTACCTGGGACTTCACACGTCTGGTTCTTTTCAGCACAACATTCATTCTTGCACCCTGTTTTGGAGGAGACTGAGCATCAACAGCAACTTCCTCAACTTCCACTTTTTCTTTAAGATCCAAGTTTGGCTTTTGGATGCCCTACAGAACCACAACACAAAAGGACAATAGATTGATTGGATCTGGGATGTCAGTCTGGTTTCAAACTGTTCATAGCTACTGGGAGAAAAAGGCCTCCCAATAGTGACACATCATATATGTCATTTGGACAGATTCACCCAAATAAAATTAGCAATTTTCCAAATGCTTTTATTTAGCCCAAAACAAAAAAACAAAAAACCCTTTGAGTTTGACTTTCAAACTTTCAGTGTTCTTATCTTATCTAGCTAAAGAGATACAAAGAGACCAAACCCCCCAAATAATATGGCTCTCATTAAGAAGACATTTTAAGAAAGGTAAATGCACATTAGACATGTCAACCTAGTACAGGTAGTCTTTGACTTATGACTGCAATTGAGCCTAGCATTTCTGTTGCTAATGAGTCATTTGTTAAGTGAGTTTTGCCNCTCAGCCCTTCTTTCTCTCTCTTCTCTTCTTCTCCACCAACACTGAAGCATATGATCACCTTTTCTATTCAGGACTCAAACCATGTGGTCCTGTACACCAATAAACCATCTTTCCAAGCAGCCTCCATGTCTCCAGTGTCTTTTTCCCCACTTGGAGCCAAACCCAGAAGGACATTTCTTTCATCACTACATAGCTATTGAAATTTATTTCAGGATTTATAAACTACGTTCCAACATTACTTACTGAACAATTAGCCGAAAAATAGTAATATTACCACATCCAAAGGTAGAAGTAATAAAATGTCAATTACAAAATCTAAAATGCAGGTAATAAATATGGAATAAAATCTTTCTAGACTTTTTCCAATAAATATACAGAATTGTTCTGCTTTATAGGACAAGTAATGCTACTAACACAATTGCTAAAAATCTTTAAAGTTACAATTAACCTTGACTATTTGACCTGTTGCCAATTTGCCAAACCTGTTTAGGACCAATAATTGGTTAATGTGTTCAAAGATGGATGGTTACACAACTTATAAAATATCATATTAAGCACATGCCTTGCCCAGTGGTTGTTAATCTCTATTTTTAATCAAATGGGTTAAGCTATACTAAATTTGTCATACTCATGAACTGGTGCATATTACTTCTCGATTATGTTTTGGTGGAGTCCTGGAAATACATGTAATTATATAAATGTAAATTATAATCTTCAAGGGATTCCCACATGAAAATAAACTATGATAACTACTAATATTAAAATAGCACAATATATCCCATAATGTAATATTTTAAAAAGGTTTTAATCTGATCCTGCCCAAGGAAAGATTTAACTTCTGCATGTAAATTCAAAATTAAATTCTATCCTATGTAGTGCTGCCAAATCACAGTATAAAAGGCAATTTGTAGGCAGTCCACTGTTGCTTATCTTTAGATAATATTGTGCCACGAGCTTTTTGTTAGTGGAACAAAGCGAATAAGGGTCTTTTTCTGCAAGTAACACACGAATTATTTACTAAAAGAAAAATGGAAATGCCAGGCAGCCTTAAAGAGACCTAGTGCTCTAAACTAGGTAACTGTTTAAAACTACCCGTGCTTTCCCTTCATCAACCTTTCTAGGTCTTTCATCCCGTTACACAAAATGATCCAAGGAAATCCTTCTCATTTGCATCGACTCCAATTACTCTTTAAGCCTTCATTAATGCAGAGGTGCGGTAGACAAGCCATGATGAGTAGAGAGTTGTGATTGGCCAAAATATCGGACCTCGTGTATTTCCTTTCCCCTGATTGGAGGACTTTCGCAGCCTGTTGTTTGATTTTGGGTTTTTCCGTTGAGAGCGGCGGCGGCGGCGTCTGGCGGCGTGAACGGCAGAGTTAGCGGCGCGTAGAGGAGAAGCACAAACTTCTGGTTCCGAATGGGACCGAGAAGGGTGTGTGTTTGCACGGGTTTGCACGGCGTTCTGGTAGGCTAAGGGGGTGGGGGGAATAGTGTAGCTTCTGGCTGTTTTCGTCCTTTTTGGCGTTAAGCCAGAAGTGTCCCGTTCAAGAAAGACCCGGACTCTCTCCACCAAGTAAACCTCCAGGCTATACGCGCTTCGTTGTTTTTTTTTTTTTATTTCCAGTTTTTATCTTATTAAGGAAGCCTGCATTTTAGTATGACGGTTTTGATGTGGGGTTTGAGCTGGCGATTTATGGGAGTCAAGGTTCCTTTTTATCTGCGTAGTAACCTTCCCTCAATAGCCAAACTCACAAAAGTGTTGGATAAAACTGCAAATTATCACTTTTCAGATAACCCCAGGGAATCTTCCATTACTTGTTGGACTTAAAACTTCCTTGAAGCCCCCCTACCTCACTCTTGCTTATCTTGAGTATAACTGCCTTTTTTTCCCCCAATAGCTACTACCGGCTTTGTTTACACTGCATTGGACAACCATGCTTTGGCATGTGAGACAAGCCTTTTCCACACTATTAGCTTATGTGGTAAGAGCCCAGAAAATTAGGCTGAGAAACCATAGTTCGATACAGGTTATAGTGTTACCTAAGCATAGCCATTGTCGGTTTATTGCTTCCCCCTCTCCCCCCAAAAAGCAAATTCTTTAACATTGTTTGCTCTCCAGTACTGTTACTGATATCTTGCTAGTTTGAATGGAACAGAAGATGATTAGGCAGGTTATAGTTATGCATCCTTTGCTTTCCTCTGTTTAGGCAAATTACACGCATATGTGTTCTTAAAGGTTAGGAAACTGTATTTGATAGGATTTAAATATAAAGTGTGCTCCTACCATTGTGAAATGGTGAACTCTACAGGACTGTAGGGAATAACTTACTTTGCAGTTCTTAATTTTCAAAAGCACAAGAGATGAGGCTAAACTTTGCAAAGAATGGATGTGCACTTTATTTTTATTTTATTTAGTCAAACATGTAAAAGCTTAACAGGTATACGTATAAACATAAATATGAACACAGTAAATGGGTNATACAAAATAATGCACTGGTATGTGTTATAGACTATCTTGGCCATAATATGAACACTTCCTTTACAAAAGAATTTTGCATCCTTTACAGTGGAAAAGCTAGTTCAGATATCTATCACTTGCCTACCAAACCACTACAGATTCCCCACTTACCTTGCTCAGTGAATAAAGATCTAATATTTTTCTTTCTACTACTGGAATTTTCAGTGTAGACCCTTGAAGTTCCCAGAATTTTGCTAGGTGATCTAAGAAATCCAACTTCACTCTAGTCATTGCCTAATAATCAAACAAACAAAAGGTATCATACAAATTTGATGTATAAAGTTCTCTGTCTACAAAAGCAAATGGAAATAACAGAAGAGGCCATTTCAGCTGTTTCAGAGAAACTGTCAAATATCATACTTGTGGAGTTGCTATGAATTCTGTGAGGGTGTGTGTGTGTCTTAAAATGATAAATGAATACATTCCACACTAGTGAAGGCTGAAAAAACCAGGGGCAATCATTAAAGAATTATGGAAACAGACAGGTGTATCCAGGTATACCAACAATTGTATAACATTCTCCATATTTCAAGTTCCTCGTAAATAAATTGTAGGAGACTTTTGGCAAAAGATGTTGCTTCCTCTTGCCTGGGCGAGGGGGGAGATTAAGGACAATTATTCAAATGGTCTGAAATAAAAGATGTGATTAATCCTAATAATGATTAGCTGGAACTCTACTTTAAAGATCACTTGTTTAAAACAAGTCGTAGTTGTAATAAATCCCTGTTTATTGAGCTCAAATAAAACAAGATAAAGATAAAAGCAAATACTGGCAAGATTGGAAGAAGAGCAAAATAGTACACTATAACCTCTCAATCTTAAATTATATTTTAATATCAAGTCTGAACCAGCTTTATCTTCCATAGATACTCATTACTATAGAATTAGTCATTATCAATATTAAGTTCTACCAAAATCCATGAAACATGAGTGCTGATCAGCTCTTCCCTCTTGCGCTCTCTACTGCATAATGCAGAAGAGATAAGATACACTAATTAGTTACACTACCTCAACTACCTTAGGTTAATATATTCCTGTAGATTCCCCCTGTAGTATAAAAGATCATAACCAAGCCCTTGTGTTAGTTTTTAACCCATGAAGGGCTGCAAAGTAGAACTGCCAAGTATGCAATAATGGTTAAATAATGAATACTTTTATGCTTTCCTCCTGCCATAATGAGTGTCCAAGAGAGCCACTGGCACTGACAAAAGAACCCAGATAGAAATTAGTTCTAGTCAACTATCATTTTTACTGGAGCATCAGAAAGTTACTTAATATGTGTACTTATAAAACAAAATTTACTCATAAATATTGGGAGAGTTATTTTATAGAATTATATCAATATAACATAAGAAACTGTGTGGACTTTTCAGGTCATTCATCCAACCATCTCACCAAAAAATTCTAAGTAGTCCAATACTGATGACTAGAAACTTACCTCCAGTTCATTCAAGCGCTGCACCCGTGGAGTAAAACGAAAGTTTTGCACATCACATGCAAAAGGAGGCTGCCAATCCTAAATGGATAAACAAGGAAAGCCATATTTAAAAAAAACAAGCCTTCAATAAAACAACAAACACGACTTATATATTCTTTTTTGTTTAACTTTTGAATGATTTACAAGAATTCCATGGAAAGCTGAAAATATTTCAGCTAGAAAGGGTATTATAAAATGAGTAAGTTTTCATACAATCTATTATATTTGTCCTAATCCTAGCAACTCCAGAATTCGTATACAGCAGATTAATAATACTACACAGAAAAGAATACAAAATTATTAGAACAAAGCTAGGATTCACTATGTTGCAATTTAGAATCTGACTTTCTTGAACTTTAACTTGATTGTTTTGAGCATGATGCAGTTTGGCCAAAAATAAAGTATCTGTATTGTTCTGTATTTTGATGGAGAGAAATTTCAGAGGAATTTCCCATGATAAGTAGAACAAGGGTAGTGTATTTTAGCCTCTCCAACTCCTCTTCCACATGACCAGTGTACCAATACACCACACTTCAAGCATGGCACACTCCACTAGCTAATCTACCCGTTCCCCATTTCCCCAGTGCCTTCCTTTGCTGCTGCCTTATTCAATCAAAAATGTTTGACTTCCTGTTTTCCATCCTGGAACACCTGTCCCCCAGAAAATGTTTTTCAGGTCCATGTCTAGATAGAACACGTATCTCTCTCCATACCTGAACTTTGCAAATTTGCCCATTCCATTCCATACACAGAACAATCAGTGCATTGAATTGTTTGCATGTCCCTAATCAAAAAAGTGTTACAAATGTTGACCCAAATTACAAATCTATAAATACTCTAAAAATGGCACATCACTCAGCAGCTGCTCTTGTCTTTGTAATCCTCCCCTTCTTCTCATACAACTAAAGAAGTGATTGCTACTTTTCATGATTTTTTTTAAAGCATAGTATTTCTCTCCAACTAAATGTATTTGTACTTATGCAATGAGTTAGAATGCAGCCGGCTATACTGGAATATAGAATGACAGTTTATTTTAAATGTTTAACAATATGAATCAGAACATCTGTTATTCATCACTAGTTATTAATTTTAAGCTGTATATTTTTGACAATGTAACCTATTCATTATGCAGGTGTTAAATAAGTTAAAATGAGACATTTAAACTGAATAAGACTGGGAATTATTATGTTTCATTCCAACAGATATTTTAATCTGATGTTACTTGACATGATACAAATATAAGCATTCTTTCAGTGTAATATGTCACAAGGCCAAATACATGACTTCCATAGCTTTGAACACAAAGCTAAGGGGGAAAAAAACCACCAGAGATACAGATGTAATGGCTGTTTTTTTCCTGCACTTACAGAACTTACATGGCTTAGACCTCATTCCAAAGAATTTTTTTTACTTATTGTAGCTGATCTATATTAAATATCTTTTTATACTTGAAAAGCAATCTGATTTGCAAATTGAAGCCTAAAACTCCTCCATCAGCATCAATTCAATTCCTGATTATGACAACTCTTAATAATTAAGTGACAAAGAAAAAAGCTGAGAAGTGATATGACTTATAATTGTTTTTCCCCATTACCCTTTGGATTCTTGGAGTAGAAGGCAGAAAAGAGGGGGAAAGGAGCTGAATCTCAGGCTGATTACATCGCTTTGGAGTTAAAAAGAGCCAGGTGAATAAAACTGCTACTGCACAGAAAAGGGAGCAAAGATGGAAGCCTTGATCTAGACTGACCTTGGGTGATGAAGGGGAGTGTCTATCGGGAACTAGAAAAGAGTTATTCAGGACTATGCATTCTAATCTCTTTTAAGGAGATTTTCTTCAAATTAACACGATGGTTTAACCTACAAGAGCTCTTGAAACAGAGAGCAGAAAAAGAATCGGGAGTGTTTTTAAAATATTTACAACGGAGAAAACCAGTAGAGAGACAGAGGCAGCAGGCTACTGGGGCTGTACACCACACAGTACAATAGGGACTATGTACTTCTAGACAAAGAGATGCAAAGCAAAATTATTTTCATGGAGAACCCAGACCGATACAAGAGACAAATGCGGTTTTTTTCATGGAGGCCAGGATAGTGTTTAAAAGCCAGAGCTTTCTACCCTGTATTGACAGAATTTAGCTCACCCAACCCCACTTCAAGAGAGCGACACCGACTGCAACTCAAAATCCCTCCCCCCTTCCTCCCGATAAATTTAAGCCATCTGGCCAGACTCGATCACAAGAGACGGTATTTTAAACACACACACACACCATTAGGAGCTCTCTCTCTTTCTCCTTCCCCGGGAGCCAGAATTTACCCTTCTTCGCCTGCCTAGTTGAATCTATACGGTTCCCACTTCGTTCTCGCTTTCCCCAAAAAACGTTTCAAAGGAGGCTTTATTATATAGCGGGGCTGTTAAGCAAAGTTTATTTATGAATGAACAGAGGGGTTGTTGTTGTTTTT